TCACACCTGAGACACTTGGGATGCCAGTCAAACCCCAGCGATTGTTTTCGCTCCGCTGAAATTGAATAAATCATAAAAATCAACATTCATGCTTAATCTGTGAATCACAGTAAGTACAGTAAATTTGCATATATACTCTTTACCAACTTCACATACTATATTATAAAAGTTATACTAAACTTTGCTAATAAATCTCCCTCTCTTAAATATATAAACTTACAATAAAATGCAAAGACAGCGCTTTCCTTAAAGCTTTTTTAAAAATTGCATTTGCCAAACCTGCTATCTTTCCTCTTCACAAAAACAATATTGAATCACTGATAACCTAAAAGAAAAAAAATTAGTACAGACTGTAATTTAGGTTACTTTCAAATCCAGGGTAAACAATTTGATTTCCTTCATCTTTTATGACTGTTTATTGAGCTTTATGAATTCTCCATCATTCTAGATTTTACTGCAGGTCCTTAGGCTATAAGAGTGAGACAAAAGAGTAGGAAGATGAGTAAAAGAAGAGAGGAAAAGACAAAATTGAAAATAAAAAGCAGAAGAGCAAAAAAGGAGAGAAAGAAACCATCATTGGTAATGGTTTCTCAAAGAAAGTAGCATCACAAAGATTAAGAAATGTAACAAAATATTTTTATTCTCTTTTTTTATCATTACCATTACTACTACTCTGCAGTCATTGTTCCTGGGACACATCCATATCCTGTGTGTGTTTGTAGTGATTTATCCAATGAGAAGAAAATAATTTGGTTTCTCAAAAAAATAAATACTTTGGGTTAAATTTTATGATAATATTTATTCCTTTCTCCTAATTTAAGAAGCCTGCACCTTTGTAGGTCTTAGATTTAATTACAAAGGAAACAAAACACTAGACAAGATGTATAGGAAATTAAGACTATTCTGAGTGAAAAAATGTTTAACAGTATGTTTTTCTACTTTTCTCAAAGCATATTTACTTTTTAATGCTGTTCTTGGTAGGTTAAAAGGGATCACAACACACCAACTTCAAAACATCATCTGAAGGTATTTATTATCATGGGTTGCAATCTGTCACTACCTCATGCCTGGGTTGAAGGGTATTGCAGGCATTAGTCACACAATACCTAAACATCATACCTGTCAAACACTTGGTGAGTGCCGCAGACACAAGGTGCTTTCACTATATGTGATGAAAAACTCATGATGTCTTGGAATCTAACAAAAAAAACTGAAGTGTATCTTAACATTGACAATACTTTCATTGACATTTTGGTTGCTAAATCTGAATCTTACAAACCAACTTCTGCTTCACTAACTAACTAACTTCACTATTGATGTTCCCTTCCAAAGTCAGTTATTTCAATAAAAAACACTAATAATAAGATATCTCAGTAAATAATTAATCAAGATATGAAATACTGAGAAGACAAAAACCATAGATCATCAAGATGATATTTCATAATTAACATATGATACAGAAAAGTCTGCTTAACTTTGGTAGACCTTACTACTGCTGTACATAATGCATTCAGTTCACTTTCAAGGCACAACCACATAACAGGTCTTGCTGTAATATGATTATACTCTCTCTACAGACTAACTACTCTGTTTTCTGCATGGAACATATTATTCAATAAGTAATTTTATTCTAAACAAATTGAATAGAACATACTTCAGTTCTAAAGCCCAATAATAATCAACTCAACATAAACTTAGTATCATCAATGGAGAGAAATATTTTTAGAAATAAATTTCTAATAATTTGTTGGTAAGAATAATATTCCAACAGATTATGAAGTGTCATATAAATATGCAGTTACTTTACTATGCATGTGATCTACCATAAGTTATAAAGCTATTCCAAACACTGCAAACATATTATTTCTACTATCTCTCAAGAGCTAATGATTGAGAATTTCTGTTCCCAGATTTCAACTTCATTATGAGAAAAACAGGTCTAATTATACCTACATACACAATCTGTATAAATAGCATCATAACCTCTGTATATGGACTAATTAAGATGTTACTTTTGGAAGAGGGCCATGGCTCCTCCACAAATACACATACAATGACTATACTTGATTTTCTTATTGTCTCTAATAGCATTTCATATACTAAGATTGTTAGTATTTCTATATTAGAAATTTTGTATAGATTATGAGTACTGAGAACTCCATGATGTAAGTTTCTTTTTATCTCTAAGACTCAGTCTCAATGATCATCATGCTAGAAATTATTAACCCTTTGACTAAAAGTATCCAAGAAATAGAAATAAACATTCATCTAGACTTCACTGTGTGTTGCAAGGAGTGAGACCTAACATCTCCAAGGGAGGAGAAAGCCTTCATAAAGACACAAATAGGTCTCCTTTGATCAATGACCCCTCCTAACTAGAACTCCAGTTGAAGGTAGAAGGTTGCACAGGAAACCCAACACCAATTCAACATCAAGCAGGCTGACATAGTTAGAAAATGGGACACTGACATTTATGCCATATAAGGGTTAACATACACAG